TTTTTTTTAAACAAACTTTTCCACAAAAGGAAAAGTTTCATCCCAGGAATGCAAGATTATTTTAATTAATTTAATGAAATTCACCATATTAACAAACTAAAACTAACAAATAAATGATTATCTCATCAGATGCCAAAAAAGACCTTTGACAAAACCCAGAAACTGTTCCTGATAAAAACTCTCAGCAAACTATGACTAGACGGGAATTCCCTTAATCTGATAAAAGGCATCTATGAAAAACCTACAGCCAACGTTACACTTAATTATAAAATACTGCATGATGCTCCCCTAAGATCAGAGACAAAGCAAGGATGTCCACCCTATGCATTTGTATCCAACTATATCACACATGAGGGTCTGTTAATAGCACATGCAAAAAGGCAAGAAAAACAAAAGCATCCAGATATACAGTAAAACTGTCTTTATTCATAGATGACATAATCATTTATATAGAAAAACTACGGAATCTATAAAAAAGCTACTACAATTAATAAGTAAATTTGTCAATAAGGCAAGATACAAGATCAATATACAAAAATCAACTGTATTTTTATATACAGGAATACTAGCAATGAAAAAATTGGAAATAGAAATCTTAGAAAAATCCTATTTATAACTGTTTAAAAATATGAAATATTTAAAGACTGATTTAAAATGTACAAGACAGATATACTGAAAACAGGAAAATTGCTGAGAGAAATTAAAGAAGCCCCACCTAAATGGTAAATAAAATACATTGTGTTCTAGATTGGAATAATCAATATCATTAAGCTATCAATTCCCCCTAAATTGATCTATAGATTCGACCCAATCCAAATCAAAATCTGAGCATGTCTCTTTTTTTTGTATTAATTAAAAAGTTGATCCTAAAATTCACATGGTGGCTAAGTGCAGTGGCTCATGCCTATAATCTCAGCACTTTGAGAGGCTGAGGCAGAAGGATTGCTTGGGGCCAGGAGTTTGAGACCAACCTTGGCAATACAGTGAGACCCACCCAGTCTATACAAAAATTAAAAATGAGCCCAAAATGGTGGCTCATGTCTGTAGTCCCAGCTACTTGGGAGGATGAGGCAGGAGGATCACTTGAGCCTGGGAGTTTGAGGTTACAGTGAGCTATAATTGCACCACTATCCTCCAGCCTGGGCGACAGAGTGACACTCTGTCTCTTATTAAAAAAAAAAAAAAAAAAAAATCACAAGGAAAAAGCAAAGGAACTAGACTAGCCAAAACAAGTTCTAAAAAGAAGACCAAAGTTAGAAAACTAATAGGACTTGACTTCAAAACTTATAAAGCTACAGTAATCAATACAACAAAAAGTTGTAAAAGAACAGAAATGTAATGATAATGCACTTTGGATGAGGCTCCAAAACTGTTTAAAATAATGATGTCCAGAAGACCATTATGCAGAATTTGGAAACAAACAGAAACAGATGAGATAAGGGAAACCAGTTTTATGATGTTTAATCCCAGCCTACAGCTATGGCATAAACAGGTCAGGAAACAGAGATTAGGAAGGATTTGTAGAGAAGTTTTTGGAGAGAGCATAGAGGAGGTATGTGTGGTGTTCTTTCTATTTCATAGCAAAGCAAGAGAGGAAGACTTTTAAGAGTCCTCAGAGAGCTTGAAATATGTTCCCCGGAGATTTGAGAACAGAAGCAGTAGATGGGGAAAGAGAGAAGCAGCAAAAGAGAACCTCTTGCCTGACACCAACCTTCCCACTGCAACCTGCCAGACCCTGGGCAGGAGGGAAAGCCCGATGTTAAATCAAGATTATAGCTTTGGTGAGAACCCGTGTCTTAGCATTTCGACTACTGGAAGAGCCTACACTCACATACTCAAGTAACTGGAGAACCATGTGACCCAAGAGGAGCCAGAAAAGTCACGGGGCTGCCCATATTTTCATCCAGTAGTGGAGGCAGTTTACAATAACAGCAGGGGAAAGGGGGGAAGGGGAGGGCATTTAAAGAGTCTTGCGTGATAGAAGTGAAGGTTATACAATGAATATTTATTTAATAAAAATAGGCCGGGCGCTGTGGCTCACGCCTGTAATCCTAGCTCTTGGGAGGCCGAGGCAGGCGGATTGCTCAAGGTCAGGAGTTCAAAACCAGCCTGAGCAAGAGCGAGACCCCGTCTCTACTATAAATAGAAAGAAATTAATTGGCCAACTGATATATATATATAAAAAATTAGCCGGGCATGGTGGCGCATGCCTGTAGTCCCAGCTACCCGGGAGGCTGAGGCAGAAGGATCACTCGAGCCCAGGAGTGTGAGGTTGCTGTGAGCTAGGCTGACGCCAACGGCACTCACTCTAGCCTGGGCAACAAAGCGAGACTCTGTCTCAAAAAAAAAAAAAAAAATAATGATCATAAGTAAATTGGAAGTGGGGAAAGGGAAAAGTATGAGGGAGGCTGAGGGCCAGGAAGTTCAACCATTATCTTCCAAATCAGGAAATCAATACATATCATCCGAAATTGAAAAATCAAGAAAGAGTAAAACAAACACATTATTTTGAATGCTGGAGATTTCTTGAATAATACCTCAAAATCACAGGCAACCAAAGCAAAATGGACAAATGGGATCTAATCAAGCTAAAAATCTTCTGCACAGCAAAGGAAACAATTGACAAAGTGAAGAGACAACCCACAGAATGGGAGAAAATATGTTCACACTACCTACCTGACAAAGGATTAACAACTAGAATGTACAAGGAGCTCAAACAACTCAATAGGGAAAAATCAAATAATCCAACTAAAAATGGGCAAAAGATCTGAACAGACATTTCTCAAAAGAAGATATATGAATGGCCAACAGGTATGTGAAAAAATGCTCAACATCATTAGTCATCAGAGAAATGCAAAGTAAAACTACAATGAGATAGCATCTTCCCCCAGTTAAAATGCCTTTTATCCAAAAGACAGGCAATAATGAATGCTGGCAAGGGTGGAGAAAGGGGAGCCCTCATACACTGTTGGTGGGAATGTAAATTAGTGCTACTACTATGGAGAACAGTATGGAGGTTCCTCAGAAACTAAAAATAAAACTTCTGTATGACCCGGCCATCCCACTTACGTATACAGGAAAAAGAAAGAAAACCAGTATATCGAAAAGATATCTGCACTCCCATGTTTACTGCAGCACTATTCACAATAGCCAAGATTTGGAATCAAACTGTTTATCAACAGATGAACAGATAAAGAAAATACGGTATGCATACACAATGGAATACTATTCAGCCATAGAAAAGAATACAATCCCATCACTTGCAACAACATGGATGGAACTGGAGAACATTATGTTAAGTGAAATAAGCCATGCACAGAAAGACAAATTTTGTATCTTGTAACTCATAAGTGGGAGCTAAATATTAAAACAATTGATCTCATGGACACAGAGACTAGAATGATGGTTAGCAGAGGCTGGGAAGAGTAGCAGGGAGGCCAGGATTAAGTGGGGATGATTAATGGGTACAAAAATGTATTATAGTTAGATAGAATGAACAATATTTGATAGCACAATAAAGTGACTATAGTCAATAGTATATTTTCAAATAACTAAAAGAGTAGAATTGGAATTTTCCTAACACAAAGAAATGATAAATTCTTGAGGTGATGGATTCCCCATTTACCCTGATTTGATTATTACACATTGTATGCCTTAATCAAAACATCACATGTACCCTAAAATATATACAACTATTATGTACTCATAATAATTCAAAATAAAAAATTAGTTGAAAATAAAAAACAAAAAAGCAAACAAACAAACAAAAAAACAACCCACTCCATATGAAAGTTTAAAGATAAACGACAATCTTGTAAAAAAAAAAACTATTCATATCCTCATATGGAAAGGACTCCTGTAAATTAATAAGACAAAACAAACTATCCAAAGAAAAAGTAAATGACATAAACAGACAATGCAGACATGGGGAAATACAAATGGCAAATTAAAATATAGAAAAAAATGTTCAGCCTCACTAGTAATTACAGAAAGGCAAATTAAGATTGAATACTATTTTTTACCCATGAGTGCTTAGTAGAAATGGAAGTCTAAAGACATGGGTGTGGGGAGCAGTTATTCATTCATTAATAATAGTACTGTCAGTTTTTAGGATAATTTGGCCATATCTATTATCACTTAAAATGTGCATTCACGTTAACTCAGAAATTTCATTTCCTAGAAAGACTTGCTTATCAATATATGGAGGCAGACAGGATATTCATTGTAGCAAATAATGAGAAACAACCTTAATGTCCACTAATAGGGAAATGGTATAATGGGAGACTATGAGCTGTTAAAAATAGTGGGATATATCTATATGCATGACATGGAAATAATGCCAAGAAATAGTGATACATTTAAAAAATCAAGCTGCAGAACAATATGCCTGGTATGAAGCATTTAAAAAAACATAAAAAATCTAAAACTGTGTGTATATGTGCATATACATGCACATACACAGATACAGTAATATTCATACCAAACTGTCAGCATTGGCTACATCTAAGAAGGGGATTGGGATAGAGCAGGTGATTCCAAGAGACTACAGAATGACTTGCACCATTAAATTTTTTTCTCAATTTATTTTACTCAAGAACATATTTATGTCATTTGTCTAATTGAGAAATAATAACACAGCACTTTAAACAGTGCCTAGCATATAGCAGGTACTCAACAAACGCTAATTTAAACTTAAAAAAATAAATTAAGAAAATATTTTGAAAGAATTAAAAATTTAAATATAAAGGGTGATACGACAATAATGGTTCTACAGCCAACATTATAATGGCCACATTACAGGGAAACCTGTGATGGGATTCTTCGCCAGGAAACAGGACTTTAGGGGAGGCATTATTGGGGGAAATAAAAGGGATTCACAACCAAAGAAAGAAATCCAGGGCCTCAGCGTACTCACTGACCCAGCAACAAGCAGCAAATAAGTATTTCTAGAAGCACCTCACTGAAGGGCACACCTAGCACACTTAGAGTGGTCCACTCACCTGACGCCTTTGCTGCTGCAGAGGTGGAGACCCCATTGAGTTCACTGGAGCTCCTTTTCACGGGCCTCGGCTTGTATTCTCGTCTGGGGATGCTGGACGCGGCCGATATTCTGCAACACACACGAGCCAGACATCTGGTGAAGAAAGCAAGGCCTCCCAACGCGCATCCACTCTGCCCGGATGAGCTCGGACTCAGCCTAGGGGCGGTGCTCGAGCAAGGGATGCTTTTCACAGACCAGTTCTTGAGTAGCCCACATGGAGAGGGGAGATAACCCAAATGTAGCTTTTCAACTGTGTTTTTGAGCTTCCTTGTGAAATCCATCTTGAGGAAGACTATTTGTCCTCGTAAAGTCTCCAAGGCACCTAGTGAGTGCTGCTCAGGAAGCAATGGGCACTCAGCAGTGTCTCACAAAGACAGAATTAGGAGAACGAGCTCACGTGAGTAACAGGTGAGCTCTCTGCCTACAGGTTGTGTGCGCTTCAGAGACTGGACACACCGTTTTATTCTTCCCTCTATAATTACCCCACTGATTTAATAAAAAATCCCTCCAAATGTATTCATTACCACAATCCTATGTAAAACAATTTTTTGTTATCAAACCTGGCCAAAACATAGGGTGATTTTTAGAAATGCAATAGTTTGCTAGAGTTGCCATGCATACTATACATACTATTACTAACTTTCAGAAAAGTACAGGATACATTTATCATTAAAGCCACATGGCACACAGCAACCTTTCTTTGATAGTTCAGAAATAATTTCTGACTCTTTCAATACTTCTTACAGTCAATATCATGAACATAGCCCTGATATCTGTACTGGCGAGGCAAAAACACATCTTTTTTGTATACAGATATTTACATATTTTCTGAGTATCACCTCACTCTTCTCTACACCCCTGGATACTGGAGGGAGGGTGTACACCACCACCACCCCCGGCCTGCGACCAGGGAGCTAAACTCCCGTCCACCAGCAGTGAAGCCAGGACAGCTCAGCAGGGGCTCATCTCCGAGGCGGGCGAGCAACTTCGTTTGTTGCCCTAAACACAGGTCACACGAAAATGGGATGTAATGACAAGGAGGAGGAGGAAAGCCACCAGGTCCCTTTCCCCAGTGCTGTCCTATTGGCCAAAGCCAGTATTTACTGTCTCCGTCCCATCCCACACCCAGATATGGAAGCCAGGGACAGAAAATTCAAAACAGCATGGGGCCAGGGAAAAGGGAGATGGAGGGAGGGACAGACGACAGACTAATTCTGGGTCATGCTGCATCTGCGGTCCGCGGCTTGTGGCCCACGGGAAGGCACTTACCGTATCTGTAGTCTATTCTGAAGCTCCTGCAGGATCTCCATGGTCTGTCTGTGATAGTCCAGTGCTGCTTCTATAAACACGGCCAACTGGCTGACTTGCTCTACCTGCGGCAGAAGCGGAAAATTACTGCGTGAGGCCAGAGCCTGGGGATGTCCAGAGACAGAGGAGACTGGCCACAAAGAGCCCGAGTCTCGGGGAAGCCTGGGGTCTGCCCCAGCTCTAGTCCGTTTCGTTTCATTGCACCTTGGAGCCCCACATCGTAATCACGCAGGCCGTGCTACAGAGCTGTTCACGCTGGGAAAACGTATCCAAATGTATTTGTGATTACTGAGTTGATTTAACTTAATAAAATGCCTGCTTTTCCAAATTAGACCACGATTTTCTCAGGAGGTTTCTATGCTATGAAGCTCGTGGATCCGAAAACAGAGAGATAAAGCTTTTCCAATTACAAGTGAAGCCAACATTTAGCAAAGCAACTGCATCTCTACGGGCACCTTCTAGCCAAGCCAAATCAAGACACTGAGTAAATGAAACTGTTCTCAGACGAGAGAGGGGGAGGGAGCGAAGTGCGGGGGCAAAGACTCACTAGCCCCTTCACGCCTCTGTTGCTGTCGACACACCATCATTTCCCTGAAACGCACGGCTGAAAGGCATGAACTATTACAAAGACTCTGGCACCTCTGTTTCCACAAATCAAGACATTCATAAAATTAGCAACCAACTTATAGTGGATGATGAAAAAAAAAATAAGTATGTCATGTAAGAAACATCTGGAAGACCTGGGGATATACAGTTTGGGGAAGAGCAATCCCCAAGAGGCCCAGAGAGCTTTCCTGCTCCCCACCGGTCTGGGGGAACTGCCACCAGAAGAGGGATTAATTTTTCCCATTTCTGGAAGCCCCAGAGGCAAGCCCTGGGGGGTTGAGATGATGGGGCCTGCCAACATGAATCCTTTGAACTACAGGTCTGGACAAAGACAGAAATCAAAATCCATCCCAACCTTCCCAGGGTCCCTGAAAGCCTGTGCATCATTTCCACATTCACTTTCCAATCAGCGTTTGGGCAAAGTCGGCCTGCTCACTCATTCAGACCTTCTCACCCTGCCTGGCCAACTACAGACTCATTTGCCTCCAAAGATCCACGCTGTTTTCCTTTGTAGCTGCACGCTATTCTTTAGCTGCCTATACTTTGATTTTTCTTACACACTGACCCGATTTTAGACACAGGCTCAACATGCATTAAAGATACACGTGGAATTTCAGTGAGCAGCAACCGAGCGGCGAAATCCCACGGAGCTAACGTTTACTCTACCATGTTCTGTGGCTGGAAAAGCAACAAACCTAGCCTTAAATTTTCAAAAACCCAATAAACAAAACAAAGACAGCCTGGCCCCTACCAAATCCTAAGGATTTCTTAAATTTCACCTCTTTGGCTTTTACACATGCTTTTACATAAGCCCTGCGCCACGGCTTAACATGATCATGGTAGAATTTGCTACAGAAAGAATTTTTTTTCTTCCTTGCAGTGCTGGAGCTGTGTGCTTAGTAAAATCTGTGCCATATCTCTGTCTTTAATAAAATTGATTTGTCCTATTTTATTACCCACTTTAAAATATGCTTGACATTTTGTAATTTTTAAAGAAACAGTGAACGACAGCTAAAGCAATGTTCCTTGAAACATACACAGGGTTGGGAAATGGGAGGGGGATCACCAGCTATTCTCTCTGATGTGGCTAAAATATGAGACTATAATCCAGAGATGCATTTATAAGTCTTCATTTGATGGCTGACTCTGGGAAGGAGACAAATCCCAGAGCCCCTTAAAACTGTGGGAGACAACAGCATTGCTGCGTAGCACCTGCACTTAGTAGGTGCTTAATGCAGTCCTCGAGAGGTGGCTACTCTGTTGTTGACAGTGAAGACAGGTGGTGCCACAAGTGGATGATTTTCCTCTCACAGCCAGAAAACGAACGCTTCCAGCTGTCCCTAAGGCCATGAGCATGGAGCTGTGTGCTGGGGACCAGCTGGGGACTCAGCTTCCCAAACCACGTTTAGAATTAAATACCTAGACAGGCAGAACCAAGACAAAACAACAAACCCAGGCCTTGCAAGAGCCAAAGCCTATGCAGAAGGTAAAACATTTCTTCCACTGGTCATGCCGCTCAGTTTAGCAATCTGTCTGCTAAACCAGGGAAGGTCACCTGGGATGGGAAGAAAGAGGCTCAATGCCACCTCCAGGTGGAGACCGGGGCTGCCACTTTGCACCTTGAGAACAAAGTGTGACCTTGCCCTATGGAAATTCCACGAAACACATGCAAAGGGACAGGATTACCAGAGAATCAGCTCCCTTCTCCAAAAGTGAAGCACACCAGCTGCTACCGGTGGACGCACACCCAGCGCAGCGGCAGCAAGTGAGAAACTCACATTGCGAACAGACTCCCACGTGGCTTAGAGGTCAAGGAGGCACCGGCCAGGCACAGCCACGGTGGTTGACAAATGCGTGGGGTCAGCACTGTGAAGCCACCTGGGGGGTTCATGGAACCATAAAGCCAGAGAGAGCCTGCAGTCGACAGAATTATGGCCCCTGCAAAGATGTCCAAGTCCGAACTCCCTAAACCTGCGAATATGTTACCTTACATGGCAAAGGGACTTGGCAGATGCGATTAAGTTAAGGCTCTTGAGATGGGGAGATTATGTCGGATTATCTGGGTGGCTCAACGTAATCACAAGGTCCTTTAAGAGGGAGACAGGAGGGTGAGAGTCAGAGAAGACATGACAAGAGAAGCAGAGGTGAGTGAGAGGTCTGGGGTTGCCATGCTGCTGGCCAGGAAGACAGGGGAGCCGAGCAAGACAGGCGGCTGGCAGACACTGGAGGAGGCAAAGCAGCGCTGCCAATGCCTCGATTTCAGGACTTCTGCCCTGCAGGGTGTAAGACGGTAAATTTGTCTTGCTTTAAGCTGCAGTTTGTGGCCACTTGTTACAGTAGCAACAGGAAACTAATATAGAGCTGCCTTAGCCCACTCGCAGACCAAGTGGTATCCAGCCATGGGATTGGTGCTGGCCCCGGCCCAGTGCTCGTGGCGAGTGGGAGCTGCTGCCCTGAGGCTCGCAGGAGCCGAGCTGGTGGGGGGAACGGGCCCTCTGTGGCTGGCCTGGGAAGGTCACTGCTGACGTGGCCCCGTCCCATGGCTCCTCACTCTCTTGCCAGGGGTAACATCCAAACAGGGGTGGACTCAATTTACCTTCCACAGCAGACCACACACAACGCATAACAGCCTGTGTGTCACCCACGGATGCATTTAATTCCAACACTTCTCCTTAGCTGCAAACCAATGGATGGCAGGCAGCATGTGAGGCTGTGGGGAGGACATTAACCCTGGGGATGGGGGCAGAGAACAGAGGCCCCAACTACAGTAGATTTGGGACAGTAGACGTTCCTAGGAGCTGTGGAAACCGGAGGTCACCTGAGCCAGTAGCCTGGCCTTGGGGACCAGCTGCAGAGGACTAGGGCTGTACTCAGAAGAACAGCTCAGATGACTGTATATTGCAGGAATGGCAGCCCTCCTCCTCAGGGGACAGGGGACAGGGTGCAGCCAGGTGTGCAGGCAGAGCAGGCCCACTCCAAGGCCATGGTAAGGGGAGGTGACTGTCATGTGAGCCGGTGACGCCCTGCCCAGCTGCCTGGGATGGGCAGTGCACTCAGCACGCGTGAGCACAGACACGCGTGTCTCTGAAAGATGACAAGCTGCTCCCTTCCACAGCTGAAATGGCACATTCCGGTAGAAGCCACCGTCAACTCAGACTATGATAATACAGGTCATGTCCTGCTCTGTCACATTGAAGATCTCCACACTTCTGGGCTTCCTCAGAGAAGCTGGAGGAAAATTCCTCATGTTTTCAGTCTCGTCATTAATAGATTCCTTTTCCACTGGGGCAGAAGCCGTTATTCAGAGCTTTGGAGAAAGTTTCCATAAGGAAATTAAATTAATAACATGGATAATGATCCCTTACATTTTTATTCTCCACTTTATACTTCCAAAGAATTTCTCAAATGCAGTTGCTCATTTGCCTGACCCTGGGCAGGTGAGAGTGACTCTTCCCAGAGGCATATAGCTCAGCAGAAGCAAAACCAGAACTTGGGGGCCGGGCTCGGTGGCTCACGCCTGTAATCCTAGCACTCTGGGAGGCTGAGGCAGGCATATTGCTTGAATCAGGAGTTTGAAACCAGCCTGAGCAAGAGCAAGACCCCGTCTCTACTATAAATAGAAAGAAATTAATTGGCCAACTAATATATATAGAAAAAATTAGCCGGGCATGGTGGCGCATACCTGTAGTCCCAGCTACTCGGGAGGCTGAGGCAGCAGGATTGCTTAAGCCCAGGAGTTTGAGATTGCTGTGAGCGAGGCTGACGCCACGGCACTCACTCTAGCCTGGGCAACAAGCGAGACTCTGTCTCAAAAAAAAAAAAAAAACAGAACTTGGGTTTTTCACTCCCTCTTGGGTATGTGCTAGTCCAGCATGTTCCAGTGTGTCCTACTCCTCACATTGCTAGTTCCCTGAAATGCCAGTGGTGATGATGATGATAAGGAGTTCTGTGGTAAGTTTGGTGAACAGCCAACTATAGCCTCTCCTAGGAATTGCTCAGATACTAATCTTTCATACTATCATATCCACTCTATTTAACTAGGAGTTAGGCCCCTGCTGTCACTGGTTCCAGGGTCAGTTCCTGGGAGGAAACCACGCCGTCATCAGCCATCCAGAAGCGCAGCTCCTCCTGCAGAGCTTCCGCCCGTGAAAGGAAGCAACGGGTAAGAAGAGGCTGCATGATGAATGCTGGACATGAGATTGGTGATCCAGGGGGAGCAGGAAGCCAGAGTCCTACAGGCTGCAAACAGACCCACTGGCCCTGGCCTGGTTGTCAGAGGTGGACCAAAGACAGGGCTGAGGTATGTCCAAGCCCACCATGTACTGTCACTCTGTCTTTCCCCCAGCAAGTCACATCCTCTGTTCACCTACAAAGCACCAGGCAGTCTCAGCACTAGCGTGTCAGGTCCAAGGGGGATTGGACAAGGTTTTCTCCACCTCGCCTGGCCAGCAGGAGAGGACCGTCAGACCGCCTCGCCAAGGCACGACACTGACATGGAAAGGACGAGGCGGTCCCCTTCTGGATCTGATTGCCCTGGCCCCCAAGAAGAGAATGAGGACAGTCTTCCGAAGCTTCTATGATCACATGTGAGTCTCCTCTGCTACGATCCTGGGAAGGGAGGAGGTCAACGCTAGTGTGCCGTGATGCAGACCATCACCTGCACTCCCTTGGCCTCTCTACCACAGGGTGTCACCAAACGGTAGCTCTTGTCACTCTCATCACCATCCCCACAACCAACGTCTATCACCACCATCATCATCACAGCAAAAACCAGCAATTAATGCACACGGGGCGGCCACTGCGGCTACGGACGCTGGTGGGACACGGAAAGAGGAAGGGCAGGAACCTCATTCGCGGCAGCCTGGACAGTCCCTTACTGTTTCATGACATCGATCTCCTCCCACCTCGGTGGTCGGTTTCTAGGGGCGTATGTCAAAGGTCTGGGTGGAAGGAGGAGGTCACCCCCGATGCCAACCAGAGCACCTGCCCCGTGGTGTTGTAGACCCAGGCTGGAGAGCGGCCCAGGGCTCCCCAGAGCTGAACAGGGGAAGTCCCCCCCCCCAGCACCAGCGAGTCAACTCCCCGCTGGAGGCCTTGGGAGGAGGCTGCAACCTCCCCTCCCCTGGCATCGCCAGGCAGCCCTGCAGAGCCTGAGGGAGGACCCGCCTCTCGCTTCTGCCGGGGCGGGGCGGGAGGGGTTAACCCATCTGTCACAAGCGGAACACCCGCCACTGTCAAAACGTGGACAAACGACGATCGTAATGAAGGGATCGATCACTGTCCACTTTCCACTGACACCGAGGGAAAACGGAGGTCCCGGGTCCACCGCCACGCCGCTGCCGAGACACGGGCCTCCCCATGACGCCCTGTGCCAGACCGGTCACCACGGCTTCGTGGGAGCAGACGGCCAGCAGCACGAGACACACAGGACGCGCCTCAGAGTTCAAACCACATGCGCCGCGGCCCCCGTGAGAAGCATCGGATACACGTCACGCTTCAAAAACGCTGTCTGAGTACTTCAAAACAATTAACTATGGCAATCTGAAACAAGATGAAGAAAATGACCGCTGCTTGGGGACAATTTCAAGAGAAAATATATACACTTAAGGGAAAACAAACAGAGATAGTAAATTGTCATACTTCCTCCTATGCCACCCCCCAAAAAAATGTAAAAAAGAAAAATTAAAAAGGAGAAACATACTAGAGCGCACTGTTCAGTCCTCAGCTCTAACGAGTGTGGGGAGTCTTGGCCTCTCCCATTGGGAGAATCCGTTCCCCCGGATTTGAGCCTTGTCAGCCTGGCACCCTGTCCCCACACGCCACCGCGGTGAATGAAAGTGCTCGGTGCACTGTGTTTGACTCGACTCAAAAGCTACGAGATCTCAGGGTACCTTTTAACAAACTATTATGAGCACAACGTGGTCTTGAGGATAAATGACCCCCTGACGTGTCCCCGCAGGCCTGGATGTTTGACGAGCAGGTCCAAAGCCGTGGTGGGCTGAGATGGCCCGGCGTGGCGGGGGCCAGCCAGAGAGGGCAGGGGCGCCAGGGGGAGGCAGATGCCAGAATCCTCTTTCACCCGGGCAGTGAAAGTGCCGAACGGCCCTTCCTGACCCAGGCCACGCCGGGAGCCCCCTACTTGCATGTTGCCTGGTTGGGAGTCACCAGTCTTCCTCGGTTCCATTTCATTTGACTTCACTTGGACAAATCAAATCAAAGCTACAGCAAGAATCACAGTACGACAGACTCCGGGCATTTCTGAGGGCTGTGGCCCCAGGACCCTCACAGTCCCCAGTTCAGAAGCACCACTACGGAACAGCCGAACGTTTCAGGTCACGCTTTCATACCCCGGACACTCGCTATGACAAGTAAAGGCGTCACAGAGCTGGGGGCTGAGACAGCCTCTCCCCTCACTAAGAGAGCTCCTCCGCCTCGCACACCTGCCTCCCGGAGTCCTTTTCCGTCTTAGCAAAACTGCAAACTGCCACGGGATGGGGGTTTCCATTCTGCTGGGAAGCTGCACACGCTACGGCCTGGCCCACAGAGGCCGGTCTACTGTGCAGTCCTCAGAGACAACCCACCTCCCCGGGCCAAGGCGAGCACATCTCTGGAACAACCCCGGGAAAAACAAGACTCCCCAAGACTCAAGATTCGAGTCGGACCTTGCAGGGTTTCTGACGCTATCTCTGAGGCAGCAGGTAAGGGTTACAGACAATTCTGGAAACTTTTGTTAACAACTAAGGCTTTAGAGCGTCTCAACATGCTGATCACAGTTACATATTCAACGTTTTATTCATTTACATTAAAGTCTCCTGTTTGGTTTAAATACTTACATCATTTTCTAAAAAATTAAACATGCTTCTTTCAGCCAACTCCTTTGACTCTTCAAACTTTTCTACCGCTTGTCTGACTTCTTCATCTGGTACCTTACCTACTCGCTTCTTCTTATAATCGTAATCCAGGCGGCGGCCTTCCATCTTTCTCAGGTGGTGCTGAAAAGAGAAGGGGTCCCTCAGAGGACTGTTACAGTCAACACGTGGCACAAAAAAAGCCTTTGCCATTTCTACAAAAATAGTCACTGCTTCCTCTTGGCCTAAGTTCTAGGGGGCAGGAACGCACCTCTGACTTGCGCTGTGTGCACCTCAGCACCTGTCACGGGCCCCCACCACCGCGGTGCTCCAGGAGCACTTGTGGAATGAAAAAATGAGTAAATGAATGGACAGATGTGTGAGGAGCCATGGAGGTCTGTATGGAACATAAAGACGCAGTATCCGTGCTCAGATACTATTTCCCAATGTTCTTTGTAGGATCCTTCATTTCAGCTTTATTAATGTCCAGACAATTTCTAAACAAATTAACTATGCAAGAAAAAATTGTCAACTCCTTACCAAGCAGCAGACTATAGAAACACACATTTCTGCTGTCCCTTAGGTTATTAACAGATTTCCATAGAGTTCCCAAAGAATGAAGGAATAAGTTGCATAACATGGCATCAATGAATGCAAGGAGAGAGAGTTACACGCAACCTCTGAAATGATGAAATTTCTCAACATTATTATAATCCCTGCTACAAAATGTAACAATTTAGAGCTGCCCATTCCTGGGAGGGATTGCCTTGTGTGGTAGTAAGTTCCCCATCACAGTTTGCGTTCCAGCAGAGAGATGCCACGCCGGAAACAGTACAGAACGGGATAACTGTGCAGGGCAAGGGAGGGGCCCTGGGAGTCAATGACAGGAATCCCTGGAGAACAGACATTTGATACTCAAAGTGCACCTGAAGACTGGCTGTCCCACTGAAGCGGGTGGACAACATGCACCATTCACTCCGGAGGTAAGTGCCAGTTCTACTTCCATAATGATGAGGTGGATAGGGCACAGGGGACCGAAGGTCAGAAGGTCTCTCTTCAGTGCTCTGTGACTTGCAGCCAGTCCCTGAATCCCTCCGGACCTTCCTAGGTACACTGGAAAGTCAGCCACATGCTGACTGAACGGGCTCCCAGCCCTGATTTCTGAGCTACGTGGGTCACAGTGGGGACTGGGGAGGGTTCCTGAATCTCAGACTCCTCACTGCTGATCGTCTGCATGACGCTTACAGTCTCTCTATCCAACGCCAGCTGAGTAACAAGATGCCATTTAGAAAACTATGTTGCTGCACAGGGAATGGCAACATTTAAGAATAAGCGTATTTTAAGCCTTTCTCACATTTACTACTCAGAATCCGAGTGTGTGTCCCTGGCTGGCCACCTCCCGAACCAGGCCGAATGGAAGAACAGTGCCAGCCGGCCAGGGGACAGTTTCTGTGGCCTTCCCCAAGGACGAAGGCCCAAGGAGACATGACATTTCCTCATTTCAGCAGAAGAGGTATTTGGTTTTAAGGCTCCACATGTGGTGACGCTGTCGTGGCATCTGCCAAACCCAGAATGTCACTTCTTCTCTGGAATCATTCGTTCAATAATAATTTGTAAGCACAAACCATGTGGCAAGCTTGTGGCTACCATAGTGAACAAAGTACAATTCTTTGACCCATACAACGTATGGCCGAGCGGAGAGGAAGGTACCCAGCGGTGCTCAGCATGCAGGAGCACAAGGGGAGCCCCCTCGCAGCCTGACAAGAGAACTCAGAGCTCCCCAGGGGAAAGAACATCTGAGCTGAGCGGTGAGCTGCCCCGGCCAGGAGGAGGGTGGAAGGGGGAAGACAGCAAACAGAGAGAGGGCCCAAAGCAACACGGTGCCAGGAACGGGACATAAACCAGGGAGGCTGGGCAGAGAATTCCAGCGGGGAAGAACGGGTGAGCGCCAAGGCCACAGAGGGAAGGAGGGGTCCAGCCGGGCCAGGCCGAGGGGCCGGGTCTTTATTCCATGCCCGTGGACACCTGGGCAGCTGTGAGGGTGCGTGTCTGTGGAGAATGCCCCGGCGGGACGGAGAGGGGAAGAAGCCACCAGACAGAAAGGGAAAACCAAGGTGCAGGAGAGAGGACGGTGGACGTGGCAAAGGCCCTGAGGGCCGAGGGACCCTGGGCGCAGTGGGGGACTGGCCTGAGACAGCAACAGGGCACTCGTTTCCTGAGATGGAAGGGAGGGCAGCACGGGTGGGGGGTCAAGGGGAGCACAGGTGGGGAGCCGGAAGTTTAGGGAGTTCCTGAGTGGGAGCTTGCATTTTCCACCTAACCCTCCTGAGTTCCCCTTCATGCCCTTTGCTTTCAGCACAAACTCTTAACACCTGCACAGGCACGAGGGCTTCCATGGCTCCCAGCCCTTCCTCCCTGTGTGGGTCCCCTGCCCCCAGGCACCCTCCACCCTGGCCACACCACACAGCCCAACTTCCCTACCCTGCCTGCTCGCACAGCCCTGGCCCCACCGCCAGCTCCCGCCTGATGTTCTGCCCACCCAGTCTGCACCGCCAGCTTCTCCTCCTCCAGGAAGCCCTCCCTGACCCAGTGGGGCTGAGGGAGGTGCCTCTCCTTGGTGTCCCTGGACTGTCTCTTGAACATAGTCTGCTTGTCACGGTCTGCTGTAACTGTCAGTCTGTCCCTCTGCCTTGCACCCGTGAGCTTCCTGAGGGCGTGCCCTAGGTCTCTGTTAGCAACAAACGGCCCGTGCCCACCATAGTGGCAGGTCACAGTGTGCCCTCGACACACAGGTGTTGGATGAATAAATAAATGAACAAAGAACCAATAAACTGACACCCATCACTTCCTTCTCTGGCCCCAGGACTGCAGAGCTGCCTCAGGGCCCACTATCTAAGGAAAGCAGGACACCCAAGCTCACACACAGCCTCATCTCTTGTCACATAAGACAGACCAGTGGGGGTTCCTGTTTCCCACTTAAAAGCTCTGGAAGGATGGGCTGGAACAGTGGTTTTTCCAAACTTTAACGTGCACCAGGATCACCTGGAGGACTTTATAAAACAGACTTGCTGGGCTTCACCCCAGAGGTGCCGATTCAGGAAGTCTGGGATGGGGCCCGAAATCTGCACTTCTCACAAGCTGACACAGACGCTGCCTGTCCAGGGAGTGCACTGTGAGCAGAACTGGGCCTGGAGAAAGGAGAACGGGACGTCCCCAAGGTTCAAAGGACCTCCACGCTGGCCCAGGCTATACTCAGGAAGGCACCTGGAGGGAGAGCTCCTTGGCAGCTCTGTAGAGGGCGCTCCAACCTCCAGAGTAGAAGTCCCTGGTGGGGTAGTAGTCTCAGGACTGATTTTGCACAGCTACAAAAATGCCACCAAGCAAGTGGCATGCAATTACCCACAGGTACCAGAAAGTTCCCACATATATGCTCTGGAAGACTGTTTTTTAACAGTTTTCTAGATGAAAAATATCAATTCCTAGACATTGATTTCCTGGAGAAGTAATAGAACACAGTGACCACTAGTGCAATGTAGCAAAACATGCAACTTTGGTATATCAATATGGTATGGTTTTGATAATCAAAACCCACTGCAGAGTTATGGAAGCGTTTTGTTACGTGAGAGATGGCTGCACAGACATGGGTTTCACCATGGCTTTGCGACGGCTCCAACAAGACACAGAAGTTCTGGCTGGAGGAACACAGCCTGTATCCTCTCCCATCGCCATGCCCCATGTCCAGGGCACGCAGGGCTACGTGATCCTGCTGCTCCTTCCCAGTGTGCCCAGGTAAATAAAACTGAGCTATGTTTTCACCGCCCATAAGAAGATGATGCTTTCAGTGAGTTCCTGCAGGAGTGTTCTAATGACTTTAAACATCACTTTAAGTAGCAACAGGTACATTAACAGCACGGAGGACTTACCCCAATCTCTTTTAAATCTTTATCTTGTAGTAACTGAAGTGGATCAATAAAAGTTTGCTTCACGTTAATATCAAGAGAGTCTTTCACCTCAGCCATCAGCTTCAGGGTCTCACCAACTTCTATCATTGCGTTGCCTTGAACAGAAAATACACATAGCTATGGTTCTTCGAGAGACTACTCCAGGTTAACGGTGATATTTGTTTAATTCTTTCCCTAAAGTTTGTGGGTGATAGTGCAAGGTCCTTGCTCTGACCTCTCAGTCCCGACTCAGAAAGAAAAAGGGGGAAAAGTCTCCTGAAGCTCTTACCATTTTGGCCACCAGATGGAGCTAAAGCTCCCTTTAGAAAACACTAGCACTTGCGGAAACTGGCACCGAGGGCTCCTTAGACGCTCAAGAACAAAATCTCTCTTTGTAAACAATGAAAGAATTTATTCATCAGGCGCTAAGTATTAACCAATAAAGATCACAACAGAAATAATAAGCCAACAAAACCTTATCTCAGCTCCCAGCTGGGGGATCTTCGGGCTGCTCCCCGTATCCGTTTAGACAGGTGGGTCCTAAGGCTCCCTACCCTCTCTGGTGTCAAAGGAGGCTGCTGGGTCACACAGGTCACCTATCTGCTCTCGCCATGAGGGCCAGGCCCACCTCTCTGGGCTAGGGGAGCAATAAGCAGTTTTTGCTGGATCACACCCTAGTATCTGGGCCCAGTTCATCTGCAGTAATCTGCAAGCTCACTGCAAGGTGGGTGGCCTGGTTGCTGTGCACAACGACAAGGGTTGCAGGTTCTCTGTGCACCTGGAAGCTACCAAGTTGTCTGTCTGTCCCCAAGGCCAGGTGCAGAGCAGGAACGTCCTTGGGTTTCAGGGCCTGCCTGGCAGTCTCACTTGGTCCCTCACCAATGTGCCTTCAGGGCAAGGGATAGGCCATCTTGTTCCCATTGACCCATGGAATAAAATAAAGTCCACATTACACTGCTATGAAGGACACTGTTACCCTCTGTCACTAATTAATGTTTTAATACTTGAGGGTTTTTTTTTTAAGTTTTCAGAAGGCTTTTTCCCCCCAGTTTCCTAGAATAATTACTGTGGTCAAAATTTGATTTCCCTATTTCTGTATTCTGTTTTGTTACCACTACACGAATAGCAAACATGCCAAATTCTCCTGGGATACTTACTATATTAAATTCAATTCACCCCCAATTTAATTTATTCATTGAGAGAAATCTCAATCAAAATTTAATGAGTTGGTGTTTTTTTTTTTAATACAGGGGACTTGAAATGACTTAAGATTCATCTGGAAAAATGAAACCAGTAATTATGTCCATGAAATTTCTGCAATAAAATAACTAGAGGAAATTTTAGAAAAAATATATTAAAATATATTTTGAAACTAAAATACTCAAAAACTACATGACACTGGATCAAAACAGGATATAGGTCAAGAAACAGAAGAGAAAGACCAGAAACAAAGTATAAAGGTTTAGTCATTAATAAAAGTGTCATCTCAAATCAACAGGGGAAAGTTGAACATTTCAATAAAGTGCCAGGACTTAGAAAATGAAATTAGAGCCCTGCTGCGGTCTCTCCAGTAAACTCAGGACTTAGAGAGTTAAAGATAAGAAAAGAAAACACATTTCAAAAGAAAGCGTAGGCAAACAAATTTACATCATTTGCAGGGGGTGGGAATGAAAAGATTTTCTAAACATGATGCCAAAGCCAGAGACCATAAGGAAGACTAATGAGCTCCACTAGGTAAAAAATGAAAATCTCTCTCGATTACAATGACCTTCATATACAAAGTCAGAAGGTAAATGCCTCCTGGGACAAAACTCCATCAGCATATATGGCATGCAAAGAGCCAATATCCTGACCATTTATCCAGCTCATAAACCAGTAAGGGAACAAAAGGAAAAACAAGCAAAGAGCACAAATATACAATTTACAAGAACAATAACAAACATGAAAAAAATCTCACATGTAGTCAAAAAGTGAAATTAAAACAGCACTGAGATATCATTTTTATATCTAACATTTAAAATTATCAGTAACTTAAAAGTAAACTAAAAAGATGATTCCTAGGGTTAGTAATTGTGTTGGGAAACATACTGTCCTACACCCCTGGCAGGAATGTCACATGTCAAATTGGTATAACTCTTCTGCAGCGTCATTTGGGAATATGATTTAAAGCCTAAAAACTAAGCATACTTTTTTTTTTGTCGTGTTGGGTCCGGGCCGCGGTGGTTCCACTGGGATGCAAAGTAGGCCTACTCTTGATGCAGCAATTTTACTTCTATGGATTTTATCTAAATTATGTCACAGCATATAATTGTGGCTCTCCTCAAAGATTTACCTATGAAAATGGTTATTATAAATGCTACGTAGCCGGGCGTGGTGGCTCACGCCTATAATCCTAGCACTCTGGGAGGCTGAGGCGGGTGGATTGCTCGAGGTCGGGAGTTCACAAACCAGCGCTGAGCAAGAGCGAGACCCCGTCTCTCCTATAAATAGAAAGAAATTAATTGGACAACTACATATATATAGAAAAAAATCAGGCCGGACATCAGTGGCGCCATGCCGTCAGTCCCAGCTACTCGGTGCGAGGCTGAGCCCAGGGGGAAAGCCATGCCTGTAGACTCCCCGCCCCCCCCCCCAGGGGCAGTGCCCGGAGTTTGAGGGTTGCCTGTCGCGCTAGGCGCTGCACGCATGGCACGTCACCTGCGTAGCTGGGGGCAACGAGAGTGAGAGCCTCCCTGTCTCTAAAAAATAAACTACGAAATACACTACACTCCCAGACATACACTAGGAACGACTACCCTACACGCGTCCACCCAACTCTGTCCGCCTCCGTATACCTACAATAAAGACCGGAACAGATCTAGTATATAATGAAGCAGCTTGGATAGGGCAAACTATGACTTTCATGGGACATTATAAGCCCTGCAGCCTCCTTTAAAAAACACCAGTGATTGTAGAATGATTAAAGCTTCCTATTTATCGACAATGGACTCATAGCCCCCCTATACTCAGGATTAGTAGAAAAAACATCGGATGTACCACCAGAAGGCAGTATGATAACCCCAGTTTCTGCATTGTTTCTACAACCGGGTAGTCCTGCTAACGAATATATCCTGTCTCCACTACAAGCAACATACATAGGATTATTTAGTAAACTACGAATCATTGGGTTGTCGGAGAAGAAGGGGGGGGGTGCGTGGTGGGGTAAGTCCGTGCTCCACTAAGTGGGAGACACAGGCAAGAAATAGAAGAAAAGAGCGATACGCTTGGTGATCTTGTAATCCTTGTGTTAATGTGGGTCCGTGATCAGTGGATGATGGAATGGTATGAAGTGTCAGCAGTTCCGTGTGGGGTGGTAACCTATGTTTTTTGGGCTGCAACGAACGACAAATTGACTTTGGGGTAATTATTGAAAATAGACAAAGGTTGGAATCTGTGGGTGTTGGGCATAAAATCGGAAAAACCAACTCACAGGAGGGGGTGTCTAGCCAGGGGCTCACCAAAGGTGATCTCCGTTCGCTTTTCCAGTACGTGCGGAGTCCCCCAGCAGGGGTGTGCGGGGTAGGCCGGGTGGGGTCTTCACCGGCCCGGTCGGATGTTCGAACTAGTGTTGGGGCTGTATGCTCTAAAGAACATTGTGCATTGGTGTGGAGAAAGTGGAGTGATCAGGATACATAGCATTTAACAAATGCAGCTGCCAAGAATCGAAAGGGTCACCCGTAAACAAGTGTCGAGTGAGAAAGGTGATCTTATTAATTTCTCGCGGGTTCTGAGTACGCGACCGCAAAAAAGCTTCGTCAGGTGGGTGCTAAGTGCACTGTTGCACAGCCAAGACAGACGATGGGAAATCAGCATTGTTGTAGCGCTCGCCAGAATAAGTAGGTAACGTGGGGATATTACAAGCACTAGCCCTCGAGTGAGACCCTTCGGAATGCTTGAAATTGCTAACACGTGAAGTCAGACACTGTGCAGATCATTTTTCCTGGGGACCAAAGGTAAGCAAAACAGAATTGCTGAGATGAATGTTTCAAACTACCACTGGTCATTAACATGTGCACGCGCACACACACACACAGTGACCCAAGCATACTCCGCTATGCGCCTGGCGCCCGGGAGATTGGATTGGGATATTGGTTCCATGTACTTAAAAGGGGCTCTGCTGCCCACATGTGGGAGGCAGAACCCCAAGGGGACACCAGCCCTGCCACAGTGAACAGCAGCCTTGTGTCGCTGGCCCTCCGGTGCAGCTCAGCGCCCCACTCCCTGGGGAGGGGACGGGCAGGGCAATCACTGCTCCTTGCTTTTCTTTCCTCTGACTCAGGCGATAAGTATTTACTGATCCAGGCTTGTGCAACACACTCTGCTTATTACTGGGACTCCAGAGAGACCTAAGACAACTTTTGCCCTCAAGGAGCACATGATCTAGTTACTGGGAGGGAGAATAGACATGACTTAATTACAAAAATAAAGTCTGGCATGGTGCAGGGAAAGGAAAAGACAGTTCTATGCAGAAAGAGATTAAAAGATTCCCTAAAAGGTGCAGAAAATAGTTTCAGTAAAGAGTGTAAGAGAAAATATTTATGGTATAATCAGTGGAAAAGGAGTAGGGTGGTTCAACCTAAAAAAAATTTACTGCAGGACAAATGGGAGTTATCGGTGAGGAAAAGTGACTATGCACTGAGCACCAAGCTAAGGATTTGGGATTTTGTTCTGTATGCTGGAGAGTGAATCGAATCACAACCTAGCTTGTGGTATTTGAGATAAATGTAGGTAGTCAAAGAATAAACCTGTTTTCTTCTACTTTAATAATTACATGTTTATTTTTAATGTATTCTGGACCAGTGTTTCTCAAACTTTAATGTGTGTGCAAATAACCAAAGGATTTTGTTAAAATGTAGAGTCTGATCCAGTCAGTCTGGAGTGAGCCCGAGATTCTGCATTTCCAACAGGCTCTCCGGGGACGCAGATCCTGCTGGTCCCTGGACCACACTTTGAGTAGCAAGGCTTTAGACACTCCCAGTGCCAGCCTTTTGAACCTTGCTGACCACAGCCTCAAAGCACTTATCTTCCAGGTCCCCAGGCCCAAAGGCTTTACTCCTCCTATACACACTCACACACACGCACACGTACACATATACGTACGTGCACACGCACATTCAGTCCCACTCCGCCGGCATGTGAGTGAGGGCCACGATACTGGATCAGAAGCTGCTGGGTTGCCTCTTCTCCAGGAATAACCAGACACCTCTGCCCAGTGGACGCTTTTATTGTCGGCCAACGCCTCCCCCTACCGCATCCCAGTGTTGGCTCTTTGAGGGTGGGGTCTCTGTCTGACTTAGCAGCATACTCCAGCCCCCCGGACAGTCTCAAGCACAGAGGAAGCACTTATTAAATATTTTCTAGTATATCAGGAAGAGAAACCTGTGTGGTTTCATTTATGAGGCCAGGGAAAAGATACATTATTATAGTTTTTAAAGCTATTATCATGAAAGAGATTTTAAAGAAATTTATACTGGCCATCCTCCCTGGATATATTTGATAAAATTTATGTTATTAAATTTTTACTTTCTCGATTTTTCAGATCACAGGAACTACATGCAAATAGTAAATTCCTAAAAAGTAAAGGCTGTTTTGGGAATCCACAGATCTCAAGGCTTGGGCGCCCCCTACTGGTTCCTATGATTCACAACGTAGGAAAGCCTCATCAACGGATGCTGCTTGGGGCCCTAGTTAGACCTCCTGTGTAGACGCTGCTGTAACACTGGCCCTTCTTATGTTTTCACGTTCATCATGCCCCATTTCTTCAGCCTCTGAGCCATGAAGTTAAAGTCTTTTCAAATTAACATATGCCTTTAGAACAGGATAGCAGAAATTTCTTTTTAAAAATTTTTTTTAAAAGAGGAAATAACTGAGTAGGAAAACATTCACAAGATGTTTAGTGGCTTTCTGAAGCATGTCATGAAAAATGTCTTTGCACAAGTCAGCGCTGCCTTGTTGCTCAGATCAACACTCCATCCAAATGACATCAACCAAAGTTCACAGAAATATCTGCTGTTTCTCATCAGATGGGATTGAGTGTGACCTTTGACCACTGGGGGCTCAACTTGAAAAACTAAATTTCACTACTTGGACACACAGAGGACATTGTTTCTAGATCATGTCAACCAAATGCCAAATAAACATGGGTTATTAGAGCCTGTGGCAGTAAATGAACAACAAGAGTATTTCAAGACATCGTCTTACTTTACCTGGATTTGGCTGAAGATATTCGGTGGTTTTTGAGAGAATTTCTGCAACGGCTTTATTGGTAACATCTATTTTCTTAAAAGTAAAACAAACAAACAAAAAACATTAAAATGTGAGTGACAAACTCAATGAATTCACAGAACAAATAGGAAAGTAATTTTCATTAATTTAATATACCATTTGGATGATTTTCATCCAAATGAATGTTTTCAACATTTTTGAAAGAGGCAATATTTTCTCATTTTTTGATTTTGAAAATCATCTCTTCCCAATGATGTTGGTGAACACTAATTTATTTTTCTTATCATTCATTAAAATGAATATTAATATAATATTTGAAAAATGTGTTACAGTTATTATGCTCTACTGGATTACTGAATCTCTCAAAACTAAGCCTGACATGAGCCAAACTTTCCTTATCTGCTGTGTGAACTTGAATTTCTATACTTCTATAAGGATGCCATAGTCATGATTCATATTAGAAACTACCCCAGAAATCAACAAGAATCATAATCATTATAATTTAAAGCAAAAATAGTCATTTGCACTATGGTCAGAAGAGGTTAACTGAATCATTCTGTTAGTAATAAAGCTGCACATCGTATCTTTGTATAATGGGAGATTTTTTTAAAGTAATTTAGGGTATGTAAATTATGTGAAAATGCCTCTATGGTATTTGATTTTCAGAAATTAACTTTTTTCCAAAATCAAAAGCCAGTTAGGTTTTTCCCCTCAAGGCATTAATATTAATCCCCTCAAGGCATAATAAACTTTACACCTTTCATCCAGAAAAACAAGGGGAACTCCCAGAAGAAGGCTGCTGGACTTCCTTCCCTGCTCCTGCTCCCTGCTGTACCCTGCAGCCTTGAAGTTGTACCTGAGGGTAGGTGTTTGGCTTCCTCCCCTCCCTCTCTCCTCTGAGGAGCCCAATTATGAAAACAAGGCTGTATATAAAGGGCCCCAGACAGAGAGGGAGGAAACTGAGCAAGTTGGTAGCTACTGCTGGTCCCAGCTCTGCCTCCACCTGAGCTGCTCCGCACAGAGACCAGGAAACATGGGGAGGGACAGAGACTCTGCAGTATTTCCTTGGGGCACGTTACAATCATTTCTGTACTAAGCCAGTCATATTTTTCTAAATTCAAGTACGTTAATGTTTTCATAATTATCACAGCATCTGTGAGAGGGCGGCAGGGCGCACGTTGTCAACACAGTTCAAAAAAGAGGAAATGACTTAGCCGAGCCCACACTGCTAGTTCTAAGTGGCAGAGCCAGGACAGTAGTTCATTGCTCGGCAGCTGCTGAAACACCTGCGAACGGAGTTCTGAGTCTTCCACACTGTACATCAACCTTTGTATATCTGAAGGGTCTTATTCCAGAAATACATTTTGATTCTCTCAGATATATTAATATAACCACAATTACTTCGGCCTTGCGGTAACTGTTAGCCAAGATTGCCCATCTTTTGCACATTCTGACATCTGGCCACTGGGGGGCGCGAGTTAGCCACAGCCCGTCTCCTTCCTCCCCTGCCTGGACTGGATGTGAGCCAGGGCAGGGGCTGATTTGGGCTGTGAAGTAGGAAAGTATTGCCTTTCAGATGGCATAATCCATGCCTATCATTTAAACATTCTAGATTTCCATTCTAACCAATATCCTTTAGAGTAGCAGTATACCTCATATCACAATGGAAGTCAACTTCTAATAGAGTTTATATGTTAACATGCTCTTACCCTTTCCATGTCCAGAAATGCGTCGTCTAGTTTCGTTCCTTCAGCACCACTTATTTTTTCACTAAATAGCTGCAGAGAAATAAACATAAGTAATTGCATTGCACAATGATTCCTTATAACAGTTTTTGACCTAAATTATTAAAAACAAAAACAAAAAAAAGCTTGGATTCAACTTGTTGGATTTTTTTTTAACTAAGTCCTTTAAGAAAATTGTAGGAAACAGTAACCCTGTCTAAAGACATGAGAAGACACGCATTTCTCACTCACTCGACAGATATTTATTGTGAACCTACTAGGTGTAACGCACATGGTAAGTGCTCTAGCACAAACAGGGTAAGATAGGATCCTCGTCATCTGAGAACACACAGGTCAGTAAAGACTTAAAACACAGACACACAACTAAAGTACAAGGGAGGAACAATAATAACAATTAAAATGAATAGTACTATGTACAAATTATTGCAAACATACTAAGTGGTAGACATTTCATTGGTGCATGGAATGGATTTAGAGCCCACAACGTTGGGAGTAGGGCCACACGGGACCTATTTCCTAGAAGACGTGGCATTTGCGCTGGCTTTTTAAGGACAGGGGACATTTCACTGGGCAGCACCGAAAGAAGAGCCTTCTGGGATGAGGCACCATAAAACAAAGCCCCCAAAGCAGGAATGTATAGAGCAGGTTTCCTCAACCTCGGCACTGCGGATGCTCAGACCACACAGTTCGCTGCCGTGGAGGTGTCCTGATCTCTGTGGGATGTTTAGCAGCATCCTGGTCTCTGCCCACTGGTGTCACCAGCACGCGTCCACCTACACACACACCCTGCTGTGACAACCCAAAATGTCACCAGAAGGTTGAGAACAACTAGGATAGGGCAAATGTGCTCAACAATCATCCAGAAATTCTGTTTCACTGTGAAAATGATTGCTCAAGGGGGAATGGAGGGAAGTGAAACCTGGAAGGGAGGCAGAGGCCAGATCACAGTCTCAGATGCCAAGATATAAGGTATGAGCGAGACGTCCCCAAAGATTCTGCACCAAACACAAGGCAGCTAGAGAAACCTTTTAGGAAAGCAACTCTGGCCACCAGTGGGGTTGGATTAAAGAACAAGGAGGATGGATTGGAAGAATATGTTAAATCATTTTCTTTAGAAAAGTATATCAACATAATTTGGTTATGCCCTTAAAATATTAATATGAATAGAAAAGGCAGTAGTAAAGGGGGTGCCATCAATAAATGGTGACAGGATTGCAGGTTGCTTTAAATGCAAGAGTGATCACTACCTCTGCACACACTGCATTACCATTTCATAGGAGCAATGTAAGTAAAGACTATGTTTTGAATCTCAGGTATGAGAAGGAATTTCTTGAAGAACGGAGACATGGAAGGTCACAAAATGGCCAGGGCTCTCCATCCTCCCTGTCCTGCATCTCTGCAGTTTTTCACACAAGAATCAGACTCTGTCTTCTCCCCCAGTGAGTCTGGGGTGGTCGTGTGATTTGTTTTGACCCCACAGGGACAAGCCTCGCCAGACCTCGAGAGATCTTGCATGCTTCCACACCCTCTCCTAAAACCCTGCTGCCACCCTGCGAACAAGCCCAGACCAATTTGCTGGGTGGAGCGAGACAAGGGGCCCAGACACCCCATTGTGACAAACAGCCAGTCCCCAGAATCGGACCACCCAGCAGAACCTGCAGCTGACAGCAGACAGGGAGAGGGTCCGGAGAGACCAGCCACCTCTGCTGAGCCATGGAAACAGGAGTCCAATATCCAATACATGGTGGAGTTTAAATTGTGGGGTGGTTTGTTATGCAGCAGAAGCTAGCTGATACACTAGGCAAGAGTTCTTACTTTCAGGCTGGGTATGGTAGTCAGAAAGAATTGTATAAGGTATAACTTTCAAGAGGGAAAAAAATCAAGAATCTCATCTCCACACAACAAGTAGTGTTTTCAGCAGAGGTGTCCATCAGTGAGAGCACCTCAACATCTTTCTTGTTGTCATTCAGTAGTGAAATCCTCTAAAACCTTGGTTCTTAACCTCAGAGGTAATATTCTGAAGGTCTAATGAGAGTGACACCAGCTCCCCTGGGGAAGGGAGTGGGGCCTCTACGTTTTATTGCTGTGGTAGGTGGCGAAGACGGCCATGGTGCCTGCCGCTCTCCCGCTGCGAAGGGAAGTCTATTTTCCACGCGATGTGCTCTGACCAATAGAGCAGTGTAAGCCACTCGGCGTGGATACCAAGTTTGGACTTTATGAAGACGTTACAGCTTTAAAGAGGCTTCACAGATACTTTTGCTCACTCCCTGAGGTCCACCGAACCTCTCTACCAAATGAACCTGGACTCACTGGTTGGGGAAGGAAGAACGCGTGGAGCCGAGATCAGCCATCCCAGCTCAGCCGTCTCAGACCCCCAGGCCCCCGCTACCCCAGCAGCTGGCGGCACAGGTGACAGAGCCCAGCAGCGATCAGCCATTCCAGCCGACACCCCCGGTGCACTAGCCCGAACCGCTGACCCACAGAATTGGGAACTAAATAAATGACTTTTGTTTTAAGTTGCTATGTTTTGGCAAGGTGTGTTAAGAGTTGCTTGTAATTTTCTGTAGCTACTGGAAACACAGAAGCCCACCCGTAGATCTCTGTTTTAAATACATTTCAAAATATCCATTTGAAAACCCCTTTACCGTTGAGAATTACACTTGAAACCTCTTTAATCTGAACACATTCTCACTTTCAGAAAGTAAAGTGTCTAATAGATGAAGGGGCGTTTCCATCTTCAAGAACAGAAACCAGTGAGATTAATATACCTTTCTTGTTCAGAAAGAGGCAAGACATGCGATTGTTTCCAACAGAAGTCACAGGGAAGAGCCATGATCATCCTTCTGCTCTTCCTGAATTCCCCAGTGAAATTCAGCGGCTTTGATACAGTAAAAATAAACACACATGACATAGCTATTCAGTCCACCTGACTATATTTGACATGCCAATCATCCAAAAAATACTGTTTGTTGAGCATCTACTATGTGTGAGGCACTGCAACAGGTGCTTGGGATATAAGGATGAAAAAGATAGGCTTGATCCCTACAGGGCCCCAGGCCTCATCCCAGGGTTATAGGGCTATTGCTTTTAGGTGTTGGAAGCTAAACATCAATATTGAAGCTTCTAATCTGGTTAAGATGACTAGATAAATTCAACTCAGATGCCCTCCTTATGCTCTGAATACACTGCAATGATAGATTAAATACCAAAAAAAAAAAAAACAAACAACAAAACAAACAAACAAACAAAAAAACCCAGGAATATAAACAATGCTCAAAAACAGAATAAAAACATCTTCTGTTGACCTGAAAATGAATAGAAACGCAATGTGCCGGGCAAGGCTGAAGGCTCAGGCCCGCTGCACTTCTTGTCCGCACGGGCTGGGGCAGCCAGAAGTCTGGCCCCTGTTGGGTTAAAAGGGCTTTGAAAGTGCTGGATATGACGAGAACCCGGACGCAAGCTCTGCTTAACGCCAGGGATGGGAAGGAAAATGAGACTGGAAACAAAAACACCCAGATGTAAACCACTATCTGATGCTACCACATGTGGCGATCTGCAGGCCCAGGGAGATTGTAAAACAAAGAGTAAATCAAGTCGTCCTCCAGCTCTGTGGCTGGATCCAGATATCCCCGAGATCACTGCAGAAGAGAAACCACTATTCTGTATCCGGGCCTTGGGAAGTGGGATAGAAGAAGCCACAACCACTAAATAGAAGTGAGCACAGGGGCCAGGCGCAGTGCCTCATGCCTGTAATCCACACTCTGGGAGGCTAAGGCAGCAGGACCACTTGAGGCCAGGAGTTCCAGACCAGCCTGGCCGACATAGTGAGACCCTATCTCTACAAAAAATAAAAACTTAGCTGGGCGTGGTGGTGCACACCTGTGGTCCCAGGTACTCAGAAGCAGAAGTAGGAGGATCGCTTGAGCCCAGGAGTTTGAGGCTACTATGAGCTAGGCTGATGCCAGTGCATTCCAGGCTGGGCAACAGAGTGAGATTCTGACTCTTAAAAAAAAAAACAAAAACAGAAGTGAACATAAACATGGTAAAAAGAGGGGTTTTAAAGGTGACAAAAAGATACTCCCTCCAAAATTAAAATTCATCCTACATTTAAATTATAAAGCACATGAATAAAATATAACACCAAAAAAGAGAGCCAACAAAATCACATAAATGACATGAATTCACTCCTGGTAAAAATAATTTTATGAAACAATAGGATAGACTTTTTATGTATGTTGAGGATATTATCAAAATAATAAATAAAGGAATAACTTCTATTAATAAAAATCAAGCAATTATACAAAAGGACAGAAATTTTAAAAATAAGAACTCTTGGAAACAAAAAATACATAGTCATGAAAATGAAAAACTCAATAGATGGGATAAACTCCAGACAGGGTACAATCAGGAAAGAATTGGTGAACTGGAAAATACTAAGGAACTTACCCAAAGAACAACAACAACAAAAGGATAAAGAGTTTTATTTTTTTTTAATGAAATATCAATTAATCAATATGGAGGATACATGAGATGCTCCCAGATATATCTGATAGGCACTTCGAGAAAAAGGACAGAACATAAGAAAATCAATATTTGAAGAGTTAAAATAGTTTTTTCCTACAATTGAAGGGAGGTATGAGTGCACAGCTTGGAGGTACACTCAAGCACCAAGCAGGATAAATACTAATTTACACCTAGACACAGCAAAATCTCAAGAAAATCCTAAGACTATCATGAGGTGTTGGGGGCAGGGAGACAACCAACCAACCCACGACCAAAGCAACAGTAAGATTTATGCCAGATTCTCTTCAGCACAAGCAGGTTCCAGGAAACAGTGGAGGAATGACTTCTAAGTGCTAAGAAATAAGTGAAAACCCTGAATTTTATGTCTCCCTAACCTGTTGTTTAGGAAAAAGAACAAAATAAACACAGATTCAGACCATCACAATCTCTAATAAAGTGATGCTCAAGTATTACATCAGAGAAATAAAAACTGAACCAAGAAGGAAAGTGTGTAGCCCACGAAACAACAG